TTTTCAATTTTATACATTCAATTAACGTGCATATTCAATTTTAAAGAAATGTAATTTTTTCTTATTCGGTATTGGTAAACTTGAATAACAAATTGGATCAAATGTACGTGTTTTACAATCTAAACATTGTGCTTATGTTTTTATTTGTCCATAAAATATTTCATTTATTTTTGATTGATGACGTTTTTTATAATATTCCCATTGTTCTTTAGCTTATTGGTAATCATCCTTATTAGTATCATCATCTGTTTTTTCAATATAAGATTCTTGCCAAGAATCTTATATTGAAAAAAATTTAGTCAAACGATTTGACTAAAGTTACTTTACTTGGTAAAATAACACTGAGTAATGAGCCACTCCTACACTCTTCTTTCTTTTATGGGACACATTTTCGAAACTGTGATCAAAGCCTTTGAACGATCAGATCAACACCAACAGAAGGAAAACTAAAGGGTATCAAAAAGGGGAAAGCACATATAATAAGTAAGAAAAGTAAGGCACTCTGAAAAAGTGACATGAGGGCTCGGTTTTTTTCGCTCTTTTGCTTTGTTGAGCTTTGTCCATTTCTGACTTTGTTTTTCTCTGGGTCAGACGTCCTTAACGTACAATCAACATTAAGTGTTTAAAAAATAATTAAAATAAGTTGTATACAAATTCTTGTTAGATTTGGAACCATTGTTTATTTGTGGTAATGTTGTATATATATATTTATACACCAATTTTTAAAAATTTAACATAACATATACCAAGCACCCGTGGATGTTTGTTTTATGTTTATCTTCAATTCTTGATTCACCATTTACAATTCGCAAAGTCCTACGTAAAATTTCTAACTATGATTCATTATTATATATATGAACATCAGAAGAAGTTGAGCAACCTGAGAATTCACGCTAAATGTCGAGTATGCAAAATCTTTAAAGTATGAGTTCTAATAGCTAGTTTTCAAGAGTCACTGGATGCCAGTCCTGGGACTCGTCGGAAATCCGATACAACGCCCGAACCGCAGAAAATCAAGGTCTTGCTTCGCTCCCATTTAGAACACCCCGGGCTATCAACCCATGAAACAAAATCAATATATTCCTATGTGAATTTCGAAAAACCCAAGCTAATTTTCCAAAGATCGTCTGAAAAACCGGCTTCAAAAATTTTATCGAAAATAACCGATATATATAACGGATCGAGACAATCCACTTTAAATTATCTATAAAGATATCAATTATTTTATAAAAACAGAATTTCAAAGAGATGGTTTATTATATGCACATATAATATTATGGGTCTAAAATCCACCTTCATGGAATACACCCGACGAAAGGGAAGAAATAACTAAATTTTTGGACACGTTTCTTCGTACCGATATGTATTATATTATACCGATTTTTGTATTATAGAACGACACTTATTGGCATCACATGGGAACAAAAATATTTCAGTGGCCAGTATCCGATATTCACTTTCCTCAAAAACATTCCGTACTGTACAATTGAAACATCATCTTTTCCGAATACGAGCCTTTGCATATAATGAGCGACTGGCAGTTGCTCATCAGCTGCCTTGTACATCACAGTCTAACGCTCTTTAAAGTTTCTATTTTATTGTCAATCTATCTGTTTTTCATTGTTTTAAATTTCGATTAAAACAAAAATAAGTAAATCCCACATGCAATCAACAAATTCTGTTTAACAGATGTGTAGCTTTATTGCCAATTTACAAATCGCTTCTAGCCTTTTTCTTCATAATGTTCGGCTAACAGGTTTTAATTGCAGTGGATCAGAACCTTTATCGACTTGATTGATTTTATTAATATCCTCTAATACTTCGGGATCAAAGCCTGTTGATTCTCTTAATTACATACATGTTAGTCCAACTGCATGGAATTTCATAAATTGCATTAGAAGGACTTGATCAAGCAATAATGATTATTCTTGGCAATCGTTTCTGAACTACGCAGAATTGCCGCCGATTTCTGCCGTATTAAACGTATATTTTCATATTTTGTTTTTTCGTAGTATTTTTCTTTTTTTTTTGTTTTAATGCGAGACAAATAAGAGTTTTCTATTTGAAAATTTTTACTTTTTTTTCTTATTTATCCGTTTAATTACACTTTTCTTTAGTTAACATATCCTATGTACAATGGGCATTTTTCTATAGAGCAGGCGGACATGTGGTTTTCGAAGTCAAAAAGTGGCTATTTTGACTCTGTGCTACTGCCGTTTTTCTGAATGTCGATAAAAAAAATAAAAAAATGAAATCGAAAAATGTTTTTTCGGCGGAAATTACCTTGACCCCTGTCGTAGATTTTTGTCAAAACATTTTTCGAGCTCAAATTTTTACCACAAATACTTCAGACCCTATACTACTATATGAGATGTGAGATCTATTCTTCATGGCTGCGATCTTATGGTTACTTTTTTGTATTACGCCACTCAACTAAAGATACCATCTGATAGAGCGTTCCACGGGCTACAATCTGGTATACAGAGATTTGCGAAAAATGGGTAACAGTATAGGTTTTATGAGCTTAATACTAGACGTTTCCATAGATCGTATAAAGCTGAAAAGCTTCGATGATCACCATAGTATTTAGCATCAAAAACTGCTTCTGTATTTCGTCGTTTCTAATGGTATTTCAAGCGCGAGACTTAAAAGTTTTTCCATAAGATAGATCAACATGTCTAGTTTCTTTAATTTAAGTAATTTCTTTTTCTCATTCTATTACTGAGACTCTCAGCTTGGAATTATCCTGCTCGTCGAGTGTCTCTGTTCTTATTAAAAATAATTAACCTGTAGTTTCAAACTTACTTCCTCGTCCTGCCTGTTGTGTCATTCAGCCATGGCTCGAAGCCGATATGGCTAGAATAAGACTTAGACGAGCGTTTATTAAAATGACTGGAAATGAAAATCTGTTTGGCACCAGTAGATTAATTTAAAAATATTAGAAGAAAAGACTAGAATCAGAAATAATTAACTTCGAAAACATAATTTCATTGCATCAGTTCAACTGGTTTCCTTTATTCTGTAAACATACTTTTCACAGTATATTCTATTTATTGTATCTAGTTTGTTTATGTTGCAAAAATGATTAAAAGTCTCAGCAAAAATGCTGATGGCCAGCTTGATCGAGTTATGGTCATCTGATGATGTTAGATAAGAGCATAGCTCCAATCTGCATCGCTATTCATGATCTATCTATATGATATATCTTTTCCTTCTTTATCTGCCTGATCTATGTGTCATCGATAAAGCAACAGTTCTACGCATCTCAGGACTGTCTACAAACGTTGACTCAACCCCGTATGACCACAAGTACTTTTGGTGCTATATCTATTATCTTTACGAGCCTATATAACACACACATGCTGAGTAAAAGAAAAGATCAGATCGCGTGTATGTGTGTTGTGCTCATGGTTACGTCGTTCTCATCTTTTATCGTTAATCTATTGTATACATAGCGTGTATGTTTTCTTTTAATAGTTATTCCTTTTTTGTTATCGCAGTGTTGAGATCACTTTGTCGTGTAGTCTATTGCAGCCATACACAGCTTTTTTCAATTTTTATTTTAATATATAAATTTCAAACATAAAATAATATTAAATCTCAAATAACATATAACTAAAATTGTGGTAAGTACACAGCAATTTCCTAATTGAGTGATCATTGTTATCTTACAGAAGAAAACATTTCAAAACCAACATGAAAATGAGAATAATAAAAGTAATAAAACTAGTTTGAGGGTGTCGAACACGTTACCGATAATTACTTTCCAACGATTGTCATCGATAGATCTCATTACTCTTCTCACTTCAACTAAGTGAGGATGCTCTGCTTTTAGTGTTTGTTCGTATAGGAGACGGGACAGTGTACAATACTCTGTGGCTTTATGATAATCTTTCTGTCTATTTAAATACCAGAGTGCAATATTTTTATAACACAGTGCTAAATCTGGATGATCAGATGATAAAACATTTTTCCAAATTGTTAATGCTTTAGCATAATAAGAGAAACATGTATCATCGTCGCTGCTATTCTTATTGTAATAAACTTCACCAATCAAGTTCAAACATTTTCCAACATCACGATGTTCTGGGTTGTTATACACTCTCTTATACATATTTAATGCTCCCATGAAAAAATCTAAGGCCAAATCGAAGTTCTTTAGTTCGAGGTAGACTTCGCCAATATTTGTCAATGTATATGCAAGATTACGATGTTCCAAGACATTAGCTTGCTTCATTAATTCCATCATTGATTCGTATTTTCTGAGAGCACCAGCATAATTTTTTTGTCGATATAAACATTTTCCAATGTTGTTCATTTTAGCTCCCATATTAATATAATTATCTCTTCCCTTCAGTATTATTCTAGCCGTGTCTAAACTTTCTCTAAGGCATTTTAGAGCTTGATGGTAGTCACATTGTTTATAGTACATTTTGCCCAAATTGTTAAAGATTGCACAGCGACTGAAGTTATTATTCGGACTTAGTCTGTTGTAAATTTCAACGGCTTTACACTGGTACGCTACTGCCAAGCCGTAATTACCTTTATGATAAAAAACCATCATCATGTTGTTGTAATAATCAGCCATGTCAATGTGCTCTCTTGGTACGCATCCTTGAAGAAAGGCATATGATCTCTGGAAACACTGTAAAGAGAGATCATCTTCTCCTTGTCGGTAATAGGTGAAACCAGTTTTAGAAAGTACATATGCAATATCCATTTTTCTGCCAATTTTTTCGGCTAGCTCCAATGCTTTGAAATAGCAATCTAGAGCAGTTTTGTGGTCTCCTTTGATATCATAACTTTGACCCATGTAAACCAAAATTTTGACTAATTTGGGATCAGCATGCAATTCGTTGTCGATGCACAAATCATACGCTTTTTGTAAAATGCTTAATGCTTTATCGTATTCACCTTGTCGCATATATGCGCGTCCTAATCCACAGCGAGCTTCGATGGAAAATTTTTCGGAATGAAGTAACAATAACATATCAAAATATTGCTGGGATTTTACGCATTCTCCCATTTCGTAAAGTAAATTACCGAAAATTATGGAAATATCTAATTCACTATCGTTTATTCCGTTTCGTTGAAAATTAACATATTCTTTAGCAATTTCAAAGCCTTTCTCTGATGCTGTCATTTTACATATCCAACATTTTTTATCCTGTTCGTAATGTAGATCTTCTATTTCGAAAACTGTTCCTAAGTCGAATAGAAATTCTGATTCATCTCGAAAGCGACTATAAAATGAAATATCAGCTAGTATAGTTGTCTGATGTTTTTTAGTGTCAATACTAATTTCAAAAATAGCCGATTCCAAACCGCTGCTGAAAGTCGTATGAGTAACGCCAACACCAGCGTATATTTCGGCTATGTCCCGGTTTTCACTTGTTGAAAGAAATCCGTTCGTTGATATCAATTGGCCTATACCATCTTTCAGACGCTCAATCTCATCTTGTGTTAGTTTGCAACCACGATAAAGTATTAATGTATCATGGTAATCCAGTATAAGTTGATGATTCTCTGAAAGTTGTGCTCTGAGATCGACCAGATAAAACCGAAATGTGTACAATGCCTGGGCATCTTCAGTTCTCAGGGCTTTGTTAATCAATTTGAATACATAACTATCTCTTGTATACCAGTTTATAGCATTATCAACTGAATACGATTTCTCGAATTCTTCAATATTTTGTAATTCTTTTTTATTACCACGATAGTATAAACGACATTTCTCTAACATCTCTTCTTTGGCATTCTTATCTCCACTCGGCATTTTCTGTAGAACTTCTTTGAGCAGTTGATGCCATATAAATGATCCAGATTCCTTTGTTAGATCACGCATCGATTTCTGATTTTCATTGTAGAGGTTGAAAACTGCTTGCTGCATCTCCACTAAATGTATATTGTGTAGAATGCTTTTTGTCAAGCTTGTCTGTTCAACAAATATGCCAACAATTTTGTGATAGTTTTTACCCGACAGTTCTGCTTCGTATCTTGTGTTGTCTATACAAAATATAAAAATACTATCAACTTGTCGAAGATGATGTATCTTCGGTAATAATATTTTAGCGTCGCTGCCGGACACAGTAAGAAATATGGACGCAGTTTTGACCGATTCGATGTACTTGACGCATTCAACAAAGTCTGTGTAAAATAGAACATAATCATTAATTTCTCGTAATTTACGTTTGGTCAGGTCTGTATCTTTGAAATTTGACGCTATATTTTTATCAAACCAGATTAACGTAATAGTTTCTTTGTTTCCACGAATTAAATTACCCGTTTCGTCGACTTCTTTCTGTTGTCCCGCGGTGAAACGTTCTAATTCGACACTGACTGACGACATTTAGATTGTTTGTAATTGCAACTGTCGCCTTGATTGATTATTTACTGTTTTTTTATCCAAGAAACGAAAATGTTGAATTTTTTCAACTACAGTGGAATCATTTCATTTATATTTTCGTTTCGCTAAAACAGTCAGTACGCATAAAAATTTAACATAACATATACCAAGCATGCGTGGATGTTTGTTTTATGTTTATCTTCAATTCTTGATTCACCTCGAAAGCGACTATAAAATGAAATATCAGCTAGTATAGTTGTCTGATGTTTTTTAGTGTCAATACT